CAAGCAACAATAATGATTAAATTAAATGGTGTTTTATCTCTAACTTTATTCCATTTAATTATTTATTATAGTGATGTTATTAAATATAAGTTAAAAGAGAAATTTATATACATAAATAAATAATAAACATAACTATTGAATGATTGATAAAATGTTCATTTTTGTATAACTTACTTTGCAAGCTTCATAGATCTTGTCCTTAACACTTAATTTGATCACTCCCATACAACTATTGAATAATTGATAAAATGTTCGTTAGTATGTTTTGTTCATAGATCTTGTCCTTAACTCTTACTTCAATCGCTCTACAAACTATTGAATAATTGATAATACGTTCGTTAGTATATTTTGTTTACTTTGATCACTCCTATACAAACTATTGAATAATTGATAAAACGTTTGTTAGTATATTTTGTTTATAGATCTTGTCCTTAGTGCTTACGTAGATCACTCCTACACAAACTATTGAATGTTTTGTTCATAGATCTTGTCACTTAATGCTTACTTTGATCACTCCTATATAAATTATTGAATAATTGATACAACAAAAAGATAATCTTCATAAAAACAATAGTAACGATCGTGCAGTTTTCATCATCATCAATTTATCCATATTCCACCTTTTCTTGTACAAGTGATAATACAAGCTGCCTCATTTTACGGCCCAAAAACAATAAACCCGATTGCGCTGATTGGGGATAATTTGGATTTTAATATTAATGTTGTGGAATAAATTTATATTATGAAAATATGAAAACATGAAAAAATGAAACGGATGCAAAAATAGCAAAGAGGTTTGATGAATTGGAAGTTTTTCAAGTAATTGGCTAAAAATTGAAATCATCATTATAACAAGAGAATACAGATAATTGTTTTTTGTTGGATTTTTTTTTGATATTCTCCAACAAAAATAGCCTATGTTTTTTGTTCACTTATTTAACAAGCACTATCATTTTACTTTTAATAAAATTATAAATTAGATTCTGGATACCGTAATTAAGCGATTAATCTTATTAATCAAAGCAAAATAATTTATAATGTAAGAAAACCTTTGACTAGATTGATGCCATTCTACTACTTCTATTGTTGTGAGTCATATATATTTTTTAGTTAAATATTATTTGCATTGCTTAAATAATGGCCCCTGGTCTAAAGACTCACAATGATAATACTAATAATCAACCTGATGAAATTTAAAAATAATTATTATTATTGAATGACTAATAACACACAGTTAAAGGAAACCTGTACTCGATCATTGTGAAATTAAAGAACCAACATTATCAAATCTTTAGGATTAGTTTCTTTCATCTTATTGAAAAGCAAAATTGGGAAATTCCATATAGCCCAAAAATGGTTGTCAACATTTAACTGATATCATAATATCACCATATAGTGTTTGGACAAATCATTTGTTTTATAATTTGTGAAATTCTATCATCACAATTGGCTAGCGTGATAACAACAATAATATTAAGATTTTTTAAGAAAATATTTTTATTTAATATTATTAAAAATTTTTTACATTGCAAAAATCTATTTATTCTATATGCCTGTTAGTTAAAATTATATTTATATTTATATGTAATATTAGGCTGATGGAACACGCAAAAATCTATTTGGTGTAGAATCATCCAAACCATCAACAACATCTTTGGTACTTAGACTTATAAGTTTTGAAGCCATACTACTTGGACTTGCGTTGCCTTCTTTAGCAATAATCAATGCAATTGTTCCTGAGACATGTGGTGTTGCTTGGCTGGTTCCGGAGAATGCAACTGAACCATTGTTGTCATCAAAAGTGGCAGATTTAATATTACTACCTGGTGCAAAGATATCAACACATTTGCCAGAGTTTGAGAAATCGGCAATCTGGTCACTTGTATCTTCTGTTGCACCAACTGTAATAGCAGATGGCGCAGATGCTGGTGATACTTCACAAGCACCTGAAGACTCCTTACCAGCTGCCACTACAATATGAATACCTGCTTTGGTAAGTTTTTCGACAACATCATTGATAGCTTGAGAAAAACCTCCGCCAATTGACATGTTAATGACTGTGTTTTTGTTGGAACTTTTTTTATGCTGACTGAGCACATGTAACATGCCATTGACAAAATCAGTATTTGTACCACTACCATCAGCAGCAAGTACTTTTACCGCAAGTAGATTACATTTCTTGGCTACTCCAAAAGTCTTCCCACCAATTATACCAGCAACGTGGGTACCATGACCATTATCATCTTTATCGCCACATCCTTCACAAAAACTAGCACTATGTTTTGCACGTCCACCAAAGTCGCTATGTTCAACATTGATTCCAGTATCAATAACGTAGACATTTACGCCTTGACCAGCTGTGTCAGGAAAGGTGTATTTTTTGTCAAGTGGAAAATTAGCTTGATCGATACGATCCAAATTGAATAATGGATTATTAACAACGGCTCTTTTGAATATCCTGCCATTATTTCCAGATGGAAGAGCATAATTTGCTTTGATTTCCTGTTCTTGTTCGACGACAGAAACTTCATCCAATTTTGCTATTTTTTTAGCATCTTCAGGAGTAAAGTAACCATTATATCCGACTACTTCTGAATCAACAGAGAAATCATAGATCATTTGTTTATCATCTAATCTTGCAGAGAAGTTGCTTGCATTGACTTTTTGAATTTTTCTTCCTAAACACTTTTTCAACATTTCAAAATGTTTGAAGGCAGCATTTTTTTTTGAAGACGATGATGCAGAAGTAGAGGTTTTTAATAAGACGATGTAGAGTTTAGCGTTTTCAGAAGAAGAAGGAGAAAATTTGGCGGCGAATTGACAATTGACATTATTGTTGCTAGGAGCCGATTGAGCAGCTGTGGCCAAAAAAGCAACAATGATAGCAATTGAAAAAAATTTGTATGAAACCATTTTTATTATTTTTAATTGATAAAAAAAAGATTCGAGAGGAGAAGTAATAAAAGAAATTTTTTTAATGATTGTGAAATAATCACGCAGAAATTAACAATATGTTAATGTGGTAAGGAAAAAAGAGGGAGAAGATGTGGTTGAAGGTTTGAATTTTTGTTTTAAGGAAGGTAAAAGAAAGTGTTATTATTATTATTATTATTATTATTATTATTATTATTAAATTTTTTATTTTTCGAAGAAAATTCCATCCCTTTTTTATATAAAATCAAACAATTCGATTTTGACGATCATATTTGTTATCTTGAATACCGTATATGTTAAATAAGCAGCCATTGATGTATAATAATAACAATAAATCCGCAAAATATTCCCCATTTGACTATTCGGCCATTTTTCTTGTATCAAAAAGAAAATTCCATTTTCCAAAACATGCGCCGATCTTTCCGTTAATTCATTGCTGTCAATTATTGCACAGAGGAAATTTACGTATAACCTTGGGGTTCTCATGTGTATGAAGCGTATCAGTTTTTTATTGAGGTTATAAAGAACCAGGGCTTGTACTATTTGTAGATATATGATGCTTATTAATTATTTTGATAATTTTTTTTCTTTTTTTTAGTTTACAAGAGATTCTTCGTTCGTTCAACTTGTACATAAACAACTATTGCTATTTATTGTTTTAAAAAAATTATCTCATAATTCAAATTCGAAAACCAAGAATTTAATTGAACATTCTTGCTTAAAATTTTTAACCTCAAAAAGAAATTATTAAAAAGAGAAGATAGAATGCTAAAACCAAAAAAAAAAAATGAATATATGACTTATATATTTGCATGACATCGCACATTTTCTATTGTCTAAATATTGGTCTTGTATTTATCATAAAAGATGTTTCCATAAAATATTATTTATTTATGTATATAAATTTCTCTTTTAACTTATATTTAATAACATCACTATAATAAATAATTAAATGGAATAAAGTTAGAGATAAAACACCATTTAATTTAATCATTATTGTTGCTTGTTTATTATTCTAATCATTATTTATGTATATTTATTATATTTACTTTTAAAACAATGTTTTTACTATAAAAGACATACCTAAGTGATCAAAAAACTGTAAATATTCGTAATAATGTAATATTTGGTGTGTATGAAGCGTATCAGTTTTTTATTGAGGTTATAAAGAACCAGGGCTTGTACTATTTGTAGATATATGATGCTTATTAATTATTTTGATAATTTTTTTTCTTTTTTTTAGTTTACAAGAGATTCTTCGTTCGTTCAACTTGTACATAAACAACTATTGCTATTTATTGTTTTAAAAAAATTATCTCATAATTCAAATTCGAAAACCAAGAATTTAATTGAACATTCTTGCTTAAAATTTTTAACCTCAAAAAGAAATTATTAAAAAGAGAAGATAGAATGCTAAAACCAAAAAAAAAAAATGAATATATGACTTATATATTTGCATGACATCGCACATTTTCTATTGTCTAAATATTGGTCTTGTATTTATCATAAAAGATGTTTCCATAAAATATTATTTATTAAAAATTATTATCAACTAATGATTGATATGACGACTATGAACTTTGATTATCATGAGTTGATTTAAATATCATTTGGTTGGTTTTTTATAAGCTTTTGATTAGTATGTTCATTAGCTCTTTCCTTCAATGTATTTTTGATCTCATTTCAACATTTTCATTTGATATTTTCAAATAACATCTTTTCTACTAGTAGGTATTTTCTTTATCTTGATTAGCAATACCTAATTTTTGATTTGTTTCTTTCGAATTGAATATGAATTGAATACGAATCGTGCTTTGATTCGATTCTAACCTGTAAATGATTTGATTTGGTTCGAATTTAATTCAAATATAGTAGAACCTGTCTATAAGAATACTGTTGGGCCAAGAAAATCCTATGCTATTAAGCAGGTTATTCTTAAAAGCAGGTTTGGCATTTATATGTTTATGATGTCACAAAATTCATGATTTTTTTTCTTCATTTAAACACATTTATAAAAAAAGATCTATTATTTTACATTTTAAGTAAGCAATTGTTAAATATTTTATATATATAGTTATTTCCAAAAAGACCTAGTCAATTTTTTACAGTTTTTTAAAAAATAGTGTGACACAGGAATTTTTGTTGATACATGTGATTATGCTTATGTTCATATATTAAGTTTAGAATTTTTTTTATGCATATATACAAGATGCTGTGTGCTTATAGCACATATGGCTCAACTCGGGTCGAGAAAATTCTATGCTTTTAGACAGGTTCTGCTGTATATAATAAAATAATTAAATTCTGTAAATCTCAAAAGAGTTGCCTTTGGAAATAAGTACGTACTGATTTGATAATTCACTTGCTGCATAATAATAAAACATATTACTATGTGTAACATGTATGGATATGTATTGATTCATTGTTTTTCTCGCAGTTGTCACAAACGAACATCTGATATAACATGACCAGGCCCCTAATTTAGATTTATTCGCATAATTTTAAAACATCTATAACAAATAACATTACCCGTCTTTTCAAGAATTGACCTATGAAAAGCGTCGTTATTGTTTCTGTAATAAAATGCATATAAGCAATTGTAATGATAATTGCTTTTAGCGCCACTCGAATTAAGTTCTTTGAGAGGAATGCGTACACGAATATGCCATGCATAGATATCCTCACCTGGTCAAATAATCATATTTTTTCATTCAAGATTTAGACTCCAATGTAAACGTCTTAAATTATGACCGCATAAATCTTCACGTTTTTCTGGCTTTATTCCCGCAAAAGCATTATTCATACCTTTTTTATTCATTTGTGTATATAAAATTGAAATTATGAATTATTTAATGAATTATAAATGTTAAAAGACTTGCATTTGATTTAGTTTTTATAATTAAAGAATATGCATTTCAATCTTTTGTGCAAATATTCAGAAAATTTATTGTGCTTAATTTTGAACGAGCCGAGCTTGAGCTAAACGTCTAGCTCGACTCGACTTAACTTGAGTTTGATGTTATGTAAAATTTTTTTTAGTCAATTCTACTCAGTGGTGTGCCGCGCGTAGTGTGCTATGTTCAAGAATTTTTGTGTATACATCATTCAAGTTGCATGCGTGTACAAAAGTTTCACCATATTAAAGTTTATTAATGCATAAATTTCAAAAGATTGCTAAATTTAGATAAATTGTTAAGGTGTCTGTTTGGTATATGTATTCTACTTTTTCTTTTGTTGTAATTTTGTTTATCTCGTAAATTAGCAATATCTACATTTAAACATACTTTGAAATGTCCTTCACATCAATTTTACTGAACTATTACACTCAATGCCACATGCATTACATTTTACTCTTTGTTGAACCACATATCCAATTTGAACGAAAAAAGCTCCAGGTTTTAATACTTTTTTTTATTTGTGAGCATTTTAGTCAAAGCTTGAGCGACCAAGTAATACTAGCTCCCGATATTCAAAAGGATCAATAAATCAATTGAAAACAAGACCAATTAGCAATATCTATAGTTTTTAAGACCGATTAACTACTAAACAGAAAGAGCATCTATATGCTATTTCTCAAGCTATATTTTGTTGTGGACTTTCTCTTTCACTTTCTTGAACTTGAACCCTTTTTAAAAATTTACGTTCATCATTCGAATTACCTACAAGAAAAGGCTCTGTACTGACTGCATTGTATAAAACTAATCTTAAAGCAGGACAATGTACTAATATAGTTGATACTAATTTATTAAGTTAATAATTATTATTATGTGCGCATTATGATATTATACACTATGCACACCATGCATACTATGCGCAAAAAAATCAGGGTTACAAAAAAAGAAAAAAACAAAAACATAATTTTAAGCTTAAAATGTTTGAAAAATCAAATGAGAAAACGGAATGCGTGCATTAATGAAACCATTGGACAAAAGTTTTTTTTGAAATTCTTTATGTAATAATAATATTATTAATATTTTTAATATATGCGGAGAGGAAAACTTTAAATATGTCCAATTTGATCATTGATATGCACGCTTAAAACTTTCCGACTAAAATTAAAAGTAAACAACAACATTTATGCATAATAACAACATTATCATCTATTTGTGAGTACGAGGATCAATTTAAATTTAATATAAAGATGTACTATGCATAATTTTTTATAGAGAAATTAATAACGTGGTGGATTAATCACGCAATTAAATATAATAATGTGTTTTAGTTTTTGGCGGTGGTATTGTTTATCTTTATTGCAATTTTATTCTATCATTCTTACCCTATTCTACCATTTCGATCCATTTACAACAGAAATAAAGTAAATATTATTATGTAGTATTTAGTATCTCATATTCTCTATTAATTGACACGATAACTGGCTTTCTGTCAAACAGAACAATTATTAATATTAATAATATTACAAATATTGCATTGTAACCAGCTTATTATTATTTATTCGGTTTCAGTAAACTGCTATTCCAAGTGAAAAAAGTGACAAAGTGATTGTACGTAATGCATTACCCAATATTAGTGATCATCACTCACATTAAGTTTTTTTTTAAGGAATTCCATAATTTATCTGATCGCGACAATTTTGTGTAGTGTAACGAGTGAGATACACCAATTTGTAATTATAATGGTAATTGATTTAACGTTTTGGGAAAGAATTTTGGTTTATTTTATAAAAGTGGATGTTAAAAGAAAAAAAAATGTATTAATTTACTATTATAGATAAAATTTTGGAGAATTAAAAGAACCGAATTATAATAAATAATAAATAACGGCGGTAATTTGAATATTAATTCAATCATATTTATCAATGCTTAGTAAGTATCATTCATTGAATTACCGAAAATTCAAAACTTCGGTTACAATCTACAATAGTGTCATACTAACGCGCTTTGTCATTTATTTTTTATTTTAAATGAAACTATCTAATTTAATAATTATATAAATATCTAATTGATTAATTACCTTGAATATCGCCTAAATAAAGAACAACATCCCCAGGCCCATGTTTCTCACCATTTTTCTCACCACCTGCTGCATTTATTTCTTCGCATCTTTTAATCAATGCTTTGATAACATCTGCTTTTGTACCCAACAATTTTAAAAATGTCATCACCATCTTACGACAAATTCCTATCCTCACCAACATATCTTGTTGCTCTGAATTCTTAAGAACCAACACCAATTGATCAATTGCATCTGATTGAAACTCTACTTGGCGTATAAGTGGTGCAAATGAATCAGTTATATCATCAATTAAAGCATAATTGATCCAATCTGAATTATTAATTATCATTGAGAAGATTAAAACCAAAATTATGAAATTTTTATTGGTGCATGAAATTTAAATAATTTTTCTTGGAAATTTGATGTTTGATTTACCAGGTGTCACTTTAATATAATCCTTTAATTGACGTATTCTTCTTCTCACATTATGAGCATGTGACGTTGGTTGATAATGAAACTATAAATATTATTATTATTATTATTTGATATTGTTGTTATTAAGCAATTCACATGAAATATTCTTCATATTAATAAACTAAATAAATAATAATAATAATAATAATAATAATAA